GTGTGTACATGTACGCATACACAATGGCAGGGCTGTTGGATCATATGGTATTTCCATTTATAGTTTTATGAGGAGCCTCCATACTGTTTTCCGTAGTGATTGCAATAGCTTATAGTCTCATCAGTGATGTACAAGGGTTCCCTTTTACCCACATCCTTTCTATGTACCTCATTTTTTGTATATTTTTTGATAAACACCATCCTACCAGGTGTGAGGTGATACCTAGTATTACCTCATTGTTATTTGGATTACATATTTCATTGTGTTTTTTAGTTTAATCCCATGTCTATTTTTGCTTTTGTTGCTTGTTCTTTAGGTACTTTATCCAAGAAATTATTGCCAAGACTAAAGTCAATAGATACTTTCCCCATATTTTCTGGAAGTTTTATCATTTCAGTTCTTATATTTAAGTCTTTAATGCATTTTGAGTCAATTTTTGTCTATGGCATAAGGTTCCAATTTTATTCCTTTACAAATGAATATTGAGTTTTCCCAGCACCATTTATTTGATAAAACCTTTCCCTTATTATGTTTCCTTTCCCTCTTTGCATATTCTTGGTACCCTTGTAGAAGACCAGTCGACCAAATTCATGAATTTATTTCTGGACTCTGTTCTCTTCTATTGGTCTATTTGTCTCTTTTTATACCAGCACCATACTATTTTTATTACTCTAGTTTTGTACTATCCTTGGAAATTAGAACATACATTACCTCTAGCTTTGTTCTGTGTGCTAAAAATTGCTTTGGATATTTGGGGACTTTTGGTTCTATCTGAATTTATGATTATTTTCTATTTCTGTAAAAAATGCCACAGATTTTTGATAGGAATTGCAATGAATCTATAGCTTGATTTCCGTAGTACGGGCATTTTAATAATAGTCTACAACCTTTGAAACTGGGATGTCTTTCAATTTATTTGTGGTAGCTTTAATTTCTTTTGTCTTTTTCTTGCTTTTCTGTTCTCTTTTTGTTACTTTTAAAAACTTTTTTCTTTGCAATAATTTCTTTCATTGGTATTTTATAGATTTCAGTATACATGTCTTTCACCTGCTTGGTTAAGTTAATCCTTCAGTATTTTATTCTTTTTGATGTTAATTTTATATGCTGTGAATGTTAGGAATATTACAACATGTTATGTTATAAATATTTTGCCACTCTTATAATACCATCATAGTGTTTCTCTTCATATCATTTTCATATTTTATTTCATTTGATCTTTACAATGATGGAACTAGGTATTCAAGATAAATATTAACTAATAAACTATTTTTTAAGTAATACTTTGACAACTTAACTTAGAAGATTCATATGGTGACATTTCTTGGGCTAAGCTAGTAATTGTAAAACAGTATGCCTTGAGAGTTAAGGTTGATGTCATTTGGCTGTATTTGGGGCTCTTTGTCATAAGAACAAAAATAAGACTCTTTTTGTATCTTAATAACACTGCTAATTTTATTCTTTTAGTAAAATTGGAATTCCAAATAAAAATTGTTGATAAACATCAGAAAGATAATTTATATATACAAAATTGTCAAATTCCAGGCTTTTTATCGATAGCAGTATTGGTAAATATAGGTTATATGAATGAGTAACTCACACTCTACTTTCTGAACCAGGTCTTGCTGTTATTTAGATATTAAAATCTATAGATATGGCAAAAAGGAAGAATGGAAAAAGGAAAAAGTTGTGATTGTTTTTAATTTATTCTGTGAGTAATTTTAATTTATTTTGAGTTAGAACAATTTGAAATTAAAGTTGTAAGGATTATTTTTTTGAGATCAATTTAGCCATGAACCTAAAACAATTACTTGTGTATTAACAGAAATAGCAAAAGGTATTTTTGGTGTCATTTTTTTAAATGTTACTGTTATTTGTGATGGTCAGAAGCACCAGAAGAAATGTTTGAATCCGTTTGAGGCAGAAAATAAAGAGAATTAAGTTAACCTTTACATCAAACTACCCTTTCAGATAGCTCAATAGTCCATAATTCATATTTTGTTTTTTTCCTCTCTACAGCATCACCACCAGGCAAGAGTTCAGTATATGACAGTTTTTCAGATGGTATAGTGTTTATTTTTATTATAGTTGTGTTTTTCCTTCTTTCCTTAACTTTGTTCCAGAAATGTTCATCAATCCCATTAAATAATTTGGATGAAATACTTTAAGGTTTTCTCACAAAACCAATGTATTAAGAGTATGCTTTGTCTAGACCACTACATGTGACAAATAACCAAAAAGAAAATAGGTTTATGTTTCAAGAAACTTTCAGTCTAATGGGCACTTGGATAATCAGCTTTTTCTCCTCATTCTGGATGGTCTCTGGCTTAGGTGGTAGAACTTGTATTTTCTTTCTTTATTGGGAATATTTAAGTTATGTAACTTTAATTGATAGTCTTTAATTTTTCCTATTAGATGACAGCATACAGAAATCAGAGGTTGGCAATCAGTCTCCATCAACCTTCAGCCAGTGTAAGTTTGTCCAGTTTTTATTGAGCAAATGTCTAAAACTGGTGATTCATAATTGCTTTTCATCTTTTGACAACAGAATGCTCTGATTTGAAAATTTTAAGGCACTACAGAGGAAAAAAAGTACATATTTTACTGGCAGTAAAATTTTTATTGGATAAACTCTATGGACAATTTCTGACTTTTGATTTTCCCCTTTACTTTTCCAGTAAGACCAAAAGTAAAAGTTAATAAGTAAAGTTGCTAATATTAACCAAGGGAACCTTAGTAAATCAAAAGAAAGAGTACACGTAGCATGACACAATAGAATTACTATGAGTTTAGACTCCACAGATCTGTATTTTAATTAGATTGAACCACATACCTTCTGTATGCCCTTGGGACAAATCTTTCGTTCTCTAAGCCTGTTTATTACCCTGAAACCAAGAACTCTCAGGCTTTTTTTAATCTTAGTATTGCTTTCTACTAGCAAAATAAACAAGTCTTTCAAAGAACTTTATTTTTCTTTGATATTGGTTACACCTATCTATATTTATCTGGATATTAAAACCAAAAATTTTAATATTTATTTTGAAATAATTTAGCAGGAGTAACAGGTAGCTTTGAATTTCTCCTAGTTTCTTTAATGAATAAAATGGAGCTGGATTCTTATATATGCTTCTGTAGTCAGTTACAACATATTGTTTTGGTGACAGTACCTGTAGACAGTACCCAGCTTTATACAGATATGTAGAATTTTAGTAGTCTTCATATAGTCCCTTTTGATGTTCTGTAAAACTAAGCAAGTAGTTTCTTAAATGTATTAAAATGTGAGATTTGGTGCTTTTTTAAAAAGATTCATTTATGCATACAAGAACTGGGGTAAAGGCCAGAGGTGTGTGGGGCAATGGGGAGCAGTGAGAGGATTCTCCAGAGACAGAGTGGGGAAGATCTACTGAAATACACTGCTGAGGAGAGCAGTGAGAGAGATAGGAGAGGTCTGCTGTGCCATATATGGTTCAGCACCCTGGCTAGGTGATAGAACTCAGGTTGCAGTGGCTTGTGATAGCTTGATAGCCCTTTGTCTTTAACCTCCATACCACCAGGGAGGCCCTCACAGTCCTACTTTTCACTTGAATGTTTGAATTTTATAATTGCAACAAATATTGTCAGTAGTTTTCCTAGTAGTAGGTTTCCTTTGATCATTTTCAAGTAAATGTCTGCCCCAAATATGCAAGTCTGACTAACCATAGTTTGTCTCTTGTTCTTTCAAGTAAAAAATTCTTGGAAAAAGCACTAGTTCAATTCACAGTTCAGTTGCACAAACTTCTTCCTAAGACAACCATTGAAGTGTCCTATGCAGCAAAAGTCCTATAAGTACTTCCTGTTTCTTTACCCAGAGCATTAAAATTTGTAGCAGAGGTTAAGTTTTAATAAATAATTTCAACTGCTTCATAGATTTTCTTAAGTGAAACTGACCTTGAATACATGACCATGGAGAATACAAAGACTCTACTGTATGTTAGTACAGTTTGGTGCCATTGCTGTATGGTTCATGCTCAGGCATTAGTTGTTTTCCCACTATGGCATTTTTCACTATCTGTATAAATATCACCATTGTAGAAAAAAGTAGGAGTATTGCTTTACTTCCTGGACCCCCTTGAAAGAGCCCCAAGGTACTCCTGATCACTCGTTGAGAATTACTACTCTTAATAGGTCACTGTGCAATTATTAGCCTAAAGCAGTCAATAAATAAACAGCATAAAAGTATATATTAAATTTTGTGTTATGAAATGAAGTGATATAAGAGGAGATGCTTGATAAATGGGAAAAATCAGATAAATATAAATTATTTGCCAATGATAATATTAATTAGGAATTAAATTTTACCAGAGTTAACTTGAATCATACAAAAGATAGGCGTTCTCTGTAGTTAAAGGGACATACTATTACACTGTATAGAATATTTTCACTTGTAATGCATCCTTTTCCTTTTATATACTTCAGAAAAATGCACCTTTAAATTAAGCATGTGAACTCTGTTCCAAATCAAAACATTATTTTATGAAGTGTCTTTCATTTATCTCCCCTACATTAGCAGTAATAGTGATGATGGTTGTATATTATAAAATGTGCTCATTCTCACTTGTGCATACCTTTTTTATATATTTAAATTCTACTTTTTCCTCTAAGACTTATTATTCTTACATTGAAGAGATATGTATATATATTCACATTTATACTCAGAACTGAAAATCCTTGAGAGTGAAATTTTCTTGAGACTACAAATTAAGTAAATTGTCACATTCCTCCTTAAATTCCTTCCTCTTTTATCTAATTTTTATAAATATCAATATTGGCTTTAAAAGTTAGTTGTCCTCAGGCCCTCCCTGGTGGCATAAGGGGTTAAAGCACATCACTGTGAAGCTACTGCTTCAGTGTATGTTCAATCCCTGCCCCAGAGGTGACCCACATGGTGCAGCAGACCTCTCCTGACCCACCCGCTGCTCCTGTCAGGTCTGCCTGTTCTGCTCCCCACTGTCTCTGGTGAATCCTCTCACTGCCCCTGCAACTTTGACCTATACCCCAGTTCTGTAAGCACAAATATTCTTTAAAAAAAAAAAGTTGTTGCCCTTAAACCTAAGGAAATAATATTTGTGTCTGTTATTCATTTTCTTCCTCAGCAAAAGTGAGTGGACAGCCCCAAAATGCAACTTATGTCAGTATGAAATGGTTGTTGATATTATTTCTTATTGCATTTTTGCTACTTTGGAGTTTTTGGTTTAATCCTCGTGAGGTAGAAACAACTACTGCTGTCCAAGTGTTCCAGAACAAGATGAAACAACTTATGAATAAATACCAAGGTCAAGATGAGAAGCTGTGGAAAAGGAGCCTAACATTCCTGGAGAAACATCTTAATAGCTCCCAGCCTCGGCGTCAACCTGCTATCTTGCTGCTCACTGCCGCCCGAGATGCTGAAGAAACACTCAGGTGTCTGGGTGAACAAATTGCTGATGCCTATTCTTCCTTCCATCGTGTCAGTGCCATCCGGATTAATGGGGCAGGCAAAGCTACTGAAGACAGTGATACTGTCAAACACGAGGTAGATGAACAACTGAGCAATGGATTCAAAAATGGCCAAAATGCAGCTGTGGTACACCGCATCGAGTCATTGCCTGCAGGCTCTACCTTGATCTTCTATAAGTATTGTGACCATGAACATGCAGCCTTCAAAGATGTAGCTTTAGTCCTGACAGTCCTGTTGGAAGAGGAGACACTTGAAGCCAGTCTAGGCCTAAAGGATATTGAAGAAAAAGTGAGGGATTTCCTCAGAGTCAAGTTTACCAACTCTAACACACCCAGCTCCTACAATCATATGGACTTTGACAAATTGACTGGGCTCTGGAGCCGAATTTCTCATGTAGTTCTGCCTGTGCAACCTGAACATGACCTGAAAAGGGGCATCTGCTTTTAAGGGGTAACATAAAAGAAAATCATGTTTCAAGTTGTGAGAATGTTCAAATTTCCTAATTAGAGATGGACTCAGAGCTCTTTTTGAAAGAACTGTTTTTTTTTTTTTTAAGGAAATTAATTTCTTATGTCAAGATAGGAAAGCCTTTATTCAATTTAATTATCTGTTATTGGAGAAAGAATCATTTTCCTATGTCCATTGAGAGCTCTGTTAATGGTTATCTGAGGACTATAAATTATTTCAGTTCCATAGAGAATCTATTTAGATTCTGGGTTGAATCATTATTGCTACCCATGGGAAGGATTAGGGTCCTTCCAATGAATCTTCCCAATTTTGTAACTTAGATTTTTCAGTTTGTTGAGTTACTAGTAAGTCAGCTCCCTAAATGCAGCCATGGGTTTTCCCATTTTGTTCTCTTTTACATCTTTTAGATGTTAGTTCCTTAGTCAGCTTCTGCTTAAGGAGCAAACGTAATGAAAGTTCAACTGAGTGTATATTTGGATTTTTTTTCTTTATTTTTGGAACTTGGGGAGAAGAAAACAAGGGGAAAATGAGAAATTGTGATGTGAAGGCTAACGTGACCGGAAGTGTTCAAGATGAAATGTTAAAGTGAGCCACTGAGATTTAAGTCAATCATACGTAGTTATTTGAACCCCATTCTCAGTGATTTCTTTTGGGATTTGTTTTTTGCATGTCCTTTTTCTTTAAAAAAAAAAAAGTTTAGTCCTTCCCCTTAGGAGAATGCTTTTGAAGCATGTTTATCACAGGGGTTAGTAGACTTGCTTATTCAGTTATTCAGTTAATTTGGACATAACCTGAAGCATTTGTTTGAATTGAGAAAATAATTTCAGGAATTGGTAAACCATGTTAACCAACATTCCTGAGCTGTTGAAGAATGATTTCATTTTCTGAGTGTCCATCTGTTGCAGTCAACTTCTGCTTAAAGGAACAAAAGTAATGAAAGGTCATCTGGGTGTGTTTGAATGCTCTCATAATAGCTAGATTTACTATGCACATGATAAATCTTACTTAAGAGTGCCTCAAGCCAAAAAGAGAGTAAAAATTACCATATATGAGGAATATTAAAAATGTGTAGTGTACATTTCTGTACTCTAGTTATTTCAGTTGTAACTTTGCATCTACAGCTAGGCTTTCATATCAGCTACTTGGTTTTTTTTAGAATCTTAAAATTCTAGATATACTTTTTTTTTGATCAACAAACCTATAAGTGAAAATACTGTTGATAAAGTACCATAACCAGTCATTGACTTTATAATTTTGAAGATCCCATCACTGGTAGTAGAATGTGGTATAGTTTCCTTCAACTAAGGACTACCAGTAGTCATATATTTATACACCTTATTGTAAATTGTTCCTGTCAGAGTCAGGTCATCTGGTTTATAGAGGATTCTAAAACAAAAGTTTTTTTTTAAAAACTTATTTTATAACGTATATATTATATAATGAAACAAATTTTTTATTAAATGTTTCACTGACCAAAATTATTTTAAAGTAATTGATTTTACCTACATCTTTAAGGAAAAATAATTGTAATAGCTGATCTGTCTGTAAATTACTTCAAAAGCTATTTTAGTAATTTAAATAAATTTACTTTCTTGGTTTGTACTCTGTGTTGTAAACCTAATTGATTCATAAATTTTTTTTGTACTTAATCCTAGAGTTTTCTTTATTCTTGAACAATGTTAGTGATTTCTGGTAGGAGAAATAAAGTCCAAAGAATCAGAGCCATTACAAGTACCTTGGGTAGAAATGGGGTTGCCATGTTTTTTTCTCTTCCAGAAAATTGAAACTGTCACCAAAATGGAAGTAATTTAGGTATTCCCAACTTAGCAAACACTACAGCATTGTTTCTCAGATTTCATTCTAAGCTCCGTAAAGAGACTTTTTCTTGTTTGTTTTTTTTTTTTGTCTAATTGCCCCATAAATTTTAATACACCAAACACTTCACATTTGTTTATGGACTGTTTATATTTTTGTACTTTATAATACATGAGCACTAACTTTTTCTTTTCCCCAAGAACTAATTTTGTACCTATTGACCTATTGAGGAATGCTCAAGGACATCTGCATTTTAGATCGTTGCTCCTGAAAATATTCTATCTTCTGTTCTTGTTAATGTAATTCTTTAGGAAAGAAAAACTTAATGAGTGATCAACTTGAAAGTAGCAAGTAGGGGATCTAGAACTTAGGCGTATTACTACTTGGGTGGTGACATTAGCCCAGGGAAAACCACAGTATATTGCTTATTTTTAAGTTTCTTAAAAATTTCTACAAACTATTTGCTTCTCTTTTAATAGTATTCTTATATTACCTTTAAAGTATGGTTTTTAAAGAGGTTTTTTAGCACTCCAATCTGAAGAAAGTGGAAGTAAACTTGATTTTTGTTCCATGAAGAGAGAATTTAGAAAGGGTTTGCATATTTCATTCTATTGATAGCTAAATTAAAGATCTGAGAGCCAGTTTCCTTTTCATCTTAGGTCTTCAGAAAGTTGACAGTGTAAAATAGCATTCATCATCAAATGCATAATTTGCATTTTATTCTGTTGTATTGTCCTTATCTAGTTCATAGAGTAAAAAGCTTGTAGAATAAGGATTTATCAGTATCAGCCACCTGGGATGAAGATGTGACTCCTGAGACTGGGTAACCAAACTGAGGAGGCTACATTAACTAGAAAAGAGACTCCTTCCTTGGATACCTGTGTTCAGCCAGGGTTTAGAGAAGTCCTAGCATGCTTACAGACTGTTCCAGTGGTAGGGAAAAGACAGCCTATCACCTTAGCATAAACAGTAAGAGCTCACAATATGCATATTGTATGTTTGCTGTTTTGCATATTTTGGACTCTGTTGAAATGCTTCCTCATTTCTTACCTTCTTATTTTCCAGTTTCATACTCTGCTAATTGGTTTGGAGAAGGCTTTTTTTGTTTTGGGGTTTTTTGTGATTTTTTTTTGCTTTATTTGAAGAGGAATACTGGACCTTTTTAAAAATTGAATTATGATTGACATCTAATTACTTTCAGGTAATACAACATAATGATATTTGTATACATTGTATAATAATCTCCACCAAGAGTTTAGTTAATATCCATCAATATAATACAGTTTTTAAAAATGCTTTTCTTGTAATGAGAACTTCTAAGGTGACAACTTTCAAATACACAAAGTATTATTAACGATGATTGGTTACTTTGCTATATGTTGTATTTCTATGATTTATAACTGAAAGTTCTATTTTTGGGCCCCCTTTACCCATTTGTCCACTATTCCTGCCACTTTGGCAGCCTCTAATTTGTTCTCTGTATATTAAGAGCTTGGAGGCTTTTTTGCTTATTTTTTGGATTCCAATATGAGTGAGATCTTATGGTATTTGTCTTGTCATTGACTTCACAAAACAGTGCTCTCAAGGTTCATCCTTGTCACAATTGACAAAATGTTAATATGGCTGAGTAATAATATTTTAATGGCTGTAAATAGGCATATTTGCTTTATCCTCTCAGCCATAGATGGACATGTAGGTGGTTTCCATATCTTGGCTATTTAAAATTATGCTGCAATGAATATGAAGGTGTATCTTTTCTAGTTCCGTTTGTGTTTGTTTTCAGATAAATACATAAAAGTAGAATTGCTGATATTTTTTTAAAGATTTATTTATTTATGAGCACAAGAACTAGGTAGTACAGGCCAGAAGTGTGTGTATTTGGGGGTGTGGGGGAGAATTGGTAAGAGGATTCACCAGAGACTGAACAGGAACTGAACAGACAGATGTACTGAAATACACTGCTGAGGGGAGCAGCAGGTAAGACAGGAGAGGTCTGCTGCGCCATGTGGGTCACCTCCCTGGCCGGGGATCAAACTTGTGCTCAGTGGCCACTGATAGCTAGAGTGTTGTGCTTTAACCTGTTGTGCCACCAGGGAGGGCCTATAGTTTTATTTTTAATTGAAGAACCTCCATATTATTTTCTATAATGACTGCACCAATTTACATCCCTACCATCAATGCACAATGTTCCTTTTTCTCCATATTCTCATCGACACTTAATATTTCTTTTTCTTTTCTGATGATATGAATTCTAAGAAATGGTATGATAGTGCATGGTTTCAAATTGCATTTTTATTCAGATTTTATAATTTTTGTGTATGATAAAAGATAACAACCAGTTTTTTTCTTTTGTGTGTGACTGTCCAGTTTTCCAGTTTTTCCAACACTATTATTTAAAAGCATATCATTTCCCTGTTGTATATCTTAGGTTGCTTTGTCATAAATAAGTTGATCATGAGTATGGTCATATTTCTGGACTCTTCTGTTCCATTGACCTATGTGTCTGTTTTTATACCAATACTGTTTTGATTAGTATAGCTTTGTGATGAAATTTTAAATTAGTGAGCATGGTATCTCCAGCTTTGTTATTGGTCAAGAATTATTTGAATATTTGGAACCTTTTGTGCTTCCTTACAAGTTTTAGGATTGCTCTATACATGTGGAAAATGCCATTGGTACTTTGATAGAGATCATGTTAAATCTGTAGATTGCTTTGGTTATGGACATTTTAACAATGTTCTTCCAACTCTTGAACTCAGAATATCTTCATTTATTTTAGTCTTTGTTTTATTATTGTCATAGCTTTTGGTGTACAGATATTTTATATCTTTAGTTGAATTTATTCCTATGTATTTTATTATCTTGATGCAATTCTAATGGAATTATTTTCTTATTTTCTCTTCCTGATAATTTGTATAGAAACCCAACAGATTTAAAAAAAAAAAAAGATTTATCTATTTATGCATACAATAACTGGGGTACAGGCCAGAGGAGCAGAGGGTGGGAGGTTGAGAGTATTTACCAGAGATGGAGCGGGGGAGCAGAACAGGCTGATGTACTGAAATACACTGCTGAGGGGAGTAGCAGGCATGACGGGAGAGGTCTGCTGTGGCATGTGTGTTAGCTCCTGGCTGGGGATTGAACTCATGCTGTACTGACTGGGAATAGCTTCATGGTCCCTTGTGCCACCAGGAAGGCCCCCAACAAATTTGTTTTATATTTATTTTGTATCCTTCAGCTTTTCTGCTTTTGTTTATTCTGAGATTTTCTCAGTCTTCAGTCTTCTATATGTAATGTCATCTAAAAATGCTATTTTACCACTTCCTC